CGAGCTCGTCAGGAAAGTTAAAGTCCTTGGCGTAATCATCAGTAATGACCTTAACTGGAACTGCCACGTAAATTATATCATTAAAAAAACATCAAACGTATGTATCTTCTGAGCCAACTAAAACGCGCGAAAGTGTCTGTCGCGGATATGGTGAGGTTCTACTCTTCATGCATACGTGGGGTCGTCGAATACGGTTCACCCGTATTTCACTACGCTTTACCATCATATCTTAGCAACGAAATGGAAACAATTCAGAAGCGGGCTCTGTCTATCATTAATGGTCCTGGTCTATCATACACCAGAAGATTGGAAGTTTCCAACTTAACATCTCTTGCTAGCCGTTGTCAACTTTAATGTGAGAAACTGTTCGTAAACATAGTAAACGACCCAAACCACAAGTCATTCAACCTACTTCCAGCTTTCAACATTAACACAAGATACCCATTAAGAAATACCAGACTCTTTATTGAACCCCGCCATCGTATTGATCGTTTTAAAAAGTCCTTCATTATGGCTTCAATCGGAAATTTGCAATTTTCATTTGATATTTCATAGCATTACCAGTCTAAGTCAGTCTAACGACTGCGATATTGATTTTCCAATAAACTATTATAATTTCTATTATTATTATTATTATTATTATTATTTTCATCGCATTTTGAGAATGACATTTTACAAGTAAAGTTTGAATTAAGTCTGAAATTTCTATCGTTCCAATCATATTGTTTAATAATCCAAAGACAACTGGAGATTTGCTGTTAAATTAAATTGTAGATATCGACGACTGTGCCAGCAGTCCTTGTTCAAACAAAGGAACCTGCGTTGACCAAATCAACAAATACAGATGTAGCTGTGCAACTGGGTTTAGTGGAATAAACTGTGAAATAGGTAAGCTGGTGATAGTCTTTGTTTAGGATGCTAAAATGATAGTGCGTCATTATTAAGGAATAACAATATAGTGACAAATTCTAGCCTTTATGATTATATTCTTTAGGTATCATGTAAAATCTGTTCATCCTGTTCAGCAGCTCGTTTTGTGAGAGGGCGGTTCCGCTACCTTAGCTTTATAAAACCATTACATGCCACAAAGTAATGAGTATTAAACACACTTCATTTTTCAGACATTGACGAGTGTGCTCAAAATACTCACACTTGTAGTTTGACTGGTGGGGTTTGTAGAAATTCGCCAGGATCATTCATGTGCAGTTGTAAACCCGGGTTCATCGGAGACGGACACACATGTCAAGGTTTGTAAATATTTTAATGGCTTGTAGCAATTATGAACCAATGTTTTCTTTGATGAGTGACGCAGTTTGTAACCTGAAAATTGCATAAAAGATGACGATAAGCAAATATGTAAAGCAATAAGCAAAAAGTCCAAAACTGCTCATAAAAAGCAAATGAGAGATCTTAAGATTTGAACCCTTACATTCACAACTTTTCAGCGCAGGGACAGTGGTGATGAAAATATGGTGTCTTCTTTTTTGCCTCTTGGCTGTATTTAGTTCCAAACTAAATAATATGGAGAAAATTTACTTGGAACATAGGTGTTGTGATGTTGGAGAGTAGCCGAGGTGAAGATCAACTGTTGAGCCTTTTTCTATGTATAGAGACATATCCGTGTTTTCTATTTCGACTGTTGCAGGGTATATAAAAAACTCAAATATACTGTCGAAAAATGAATCTTACCTCGCATATCTTCGTGAATTCTTGGTCCCTGCCGTTGGAAATGATGCCAATTGGTGGCTATGCTACCGCGCCTCTTTACATGGTTGGACTGGAGAGAAGTTCCACACGGCTTGCGATGGAAAGAAAAATACCCTAACAGTTATACAGAAAGACCAGTATGTTTTTGGAGGGTACACTGACGTTCCATGGGGTGAGAAAACGTTTCCCCTTTAAACTCACTAATCATGATCTTACCCGCAATTAGTGTTCCTATCGATATCACAGCTACCAAACATACAATCAAGAAAGTTTCCCTGGGCAACATTTGAAAAGGATCCCCAACAGATGTAGTATCAAATGCTAAGAATATATGAGAGTCATATATATGAACTGCGGTTACAGAAACGCGTATGAGAACGATCTTCGAAGTGAGGAGCACTATTTAAGCAATAGTGAAATTAAGACCTGAAAAAAATTCAGTCCTGTACGGGATCCGAACCCATGACCTCTGTAATGCCAGTGCAGTACTCTACCAACTGAGCTAACAAGCCAACTGGGAGCTGGTCATGATGGTGATTAGTAATAAACCCGTAAGATGATGAATCAAATGCTAAGAATATACGAGAATCATATATTTAAAGTGCGGTTACAGAAATTCACTATTGCTTAAATAGTGCTCCTCACTTCCAAGATCGCTCTCATACGCGTAGATGTAGTATCATCCCTCCTCTTCTCCGCTTGATGTCAGTCAACTTGAAGTACGCGAACGACTGTTGGCAAACGTGCCCTCTCATTTTCGGAAAACAAAATTGAAGTTCTAAAGTCAAATATATGAAAACAAGGGAGAGGTTTTGATGGCTTTGACAGGACATCATTTCTAGGACGTTTAGCAATCAGTCACTGAATACCTACTATTTCATGACTGCAACCGTGCTGCAGCCCCTGGAAGAAATATTTTGAACATGTTACGTTAAACTTACGGACAATTTAGACACGATAATAATAACCTGTGTTATGGGTGGAAGTAAAGTAGTAATTCTCTGATTCGTTCATGTGCACTCTAATATAGAATGCAGAACAATTATCATGACCTCAATATCAAAAACATTGTGAAGGTAATTATACCTTTTCTATCTTACAGATTTCATCAATAATTCTTATGACTTTTGTTTTGAAAGGAAAATTCTATTGATGACTAACTGATTTAAATTGTTTCTTGGCAGGTTGTCCTCTGGGAGCAAGAACAAAGGACCCATCAGGTCGCTGTTGCGTATTTCCTTTCAAGTATAGAGGACGTTCCTACGACTCCTGTATAAGGAAACTTTCATTTAAACTATGGTGTTCATTCGATGCTGACTACAATGATGATTGGGATTACTGTGGTGAGGAAAATTTTTATTAATAAAATCATATCCATAGGATATAAATATCAGTATTTTTCTCTCTAGCTTTTTCAGTTTACTAACCTCATGATGAAAATGTACACCGAATAAGATTAGACGTTTTATCTTACATCCGGCTCTATGTTACCAGCTTCTGAAGAGAAAATACGTAAGCTAAGTAAAAAATACATTTAAAAAATTTGCAACAAATAAGTCATCAGATGATCTCTTTCAACCCAGCTGTGTTTTAACAAATGTTTTTAGAGGGACGAAGTGAGCTAGGTGAAAAACTTCTCATTAAAAGATTGCAATTTTTGCTAATTATCTTGACTTTTAGATGACGATCCATACATTGGTTATCGTAGGACAGACAAGGCTTTTATTTATTCGCTCGAAAACAAAGAAGTTCTGATGCCATTTAAGAGTATGGTGAAAGATGGTTCTCAAGCCATTTACATGGACATAAGCTATGGTCCAACATTTGGTGGGGGCCATGATATTTATATTGCGAACAACGCAGGTCAAAATTCTCATTCATATGCCAGGCTTGGCCAAACCTTCTTGGCTCCAAGTGAAGTAAAGGATAAGAATACAGTGTTAGCTGGGAGTTACAATTTTAATCCCGATGAAGTAGAGGTTTTCTATCACCCTTAAAGCTGGAATCTCAATAACAATCCCTCTTGAAGAATAGTATGCCTGCATGTGATAAACAAGAGTCTACATGCTTCAGTCGTAGTGACCAGGATGACCTCCACGGTTATGGGCCACTCAGCTCGACTCGTGCACAGCCTTTTGGTTATGCCTAGCGTTAACTGGAGTTTAAGTTGAAGGTTCTTTACTTTTGTTATTGATATTATTGTTACATTCTTTGCAGTAAGATCTGTCGGATGAACAGCTTATCCGGCTTGTGCTTTCAATCAAGTTTTTATTTATGTCTAATCAAAATTACGTAGTTCAATATCATATTTAAACTGGGGGAAGTAAAGAACAGCTTAAACAAAGCCTGCGGAATAGCCAGGTTTTTATAACCTATTTTAGAGTCGTAAAACCACGACACGTCACATAATCATTTTGAAATGTTAATCTTTACGCGTTCACCAAAGTCAGGTAACAACGGGATTCTTCGCGGGGTACTTTCCTGTAAATGCAATTAATTCTGTCGTTTCACTCGCACTCGTGACAACAGGGGCGACGTTTTCCTCCTTTGGAGAAAGTGCTTCTGCCATCTGATCGTTTCACGTCAGTGACCTCATTTTCCGCATTTAGAGAGTGAAGTAGATCCTGCGTCCATTTCCAGGTATCTCAAAATGGCGTCGTCATGAAATGAAACCATCACCATGGCTAGTACTCAGCCAAAACTAAGAAATCCTGGGAAAAAAACTTCCGTAAAGGGAAGCAGGGATTGTTGAAAGCCAGCTATCAGCAAAGAGTTATTTTCCAAGTGAAGTAAAGGAAGAGGATACAGTGTTAGCAGGGAGTCTCAGTTTTACTCCCGATGAAGTAGAGGTGTTCTATCTTCCTTAAGGCTAGTGATTCGCGCTAACGTAACTAAGCGTTGCTTAAATTTACAGGCGACAGATGCATAGATTATTTCTACGCTGGTTGCCAACGTTAACATCGGCAACAGCCAAACTGCAAAGGAAATGAATGAAATGCGTTTTAAATATGAAATTACACTTGAGGGGCTGAAATATTCGCAGCGAAGTGTTACTTACAATTCTGTTGGGTAGTCCATAAATCTTTACACGGTTCTTTACATGTTCTTTTAGCGGATGTGTTCGGTCGGCTGTTAGACAATTCCAAGTATTTAAATTCGTTGCGCCTATTTAAATATAAAAAAGGCTAATTCGACTCCACATTCTTTGCTACTGAATTTTGGTGCCAAAACGGAACAGCTACACAAAACGTTATTGACCTAAAGAAAAGGTTGAAATTCTTAGTGCACTAAGCGCAAATCAGCTACACTTACAAAAGCAATTCTATTGCAATTTTTAGACATGTACTCTAAGTAATTAAGGAATGTTGCACTCCATCTACTGAAGAATGTAAATTTTATAACAGTAAGTGTAAAGAGAAATGCTGGGCGGTAACCGGCGATGAATTGAAATTGCATTCAGGAAAAGACTATCTGCTTGTTAAAAGGCTGATAGTTTCGAAAGAAACTGTTTGGGGCTGCGTCGGTGGGAGTAACGAAATAATTTGGATATATCAACAAAGTTGAAATGGTAA